CTTTAAAATCAGGATCTCCTCAGTTGCTAATAGCAATTCCCACCTTGGAGTTTACAAAGACTTATGGGTAGAAAAGCCACACTAAGTAATTTACTACACTGCAGAGGGAAAAAATTTGTACTGAAGTAGTCCTGCAGGTGAGTGTTCTGGAGTGAGGGTAGTGTGTTTAGTAAAGTGATAGTCATTGGGAACAGCTACATCATAACAGTTAATTTGGGGTATATATAATTTTTTTTACAATAGTAGTTTCTATAAAAGCAGAACTTGGGAATTGCTGATCCAAGAGTACTTATTTCACAGAGAAGGGCCAAAGAGATAAAAATATGTTTTAGGTTAACATTTTCGTATCAGGGCAAGGCTGTTCCCTCAATCTGATGGTGTTTACAATGTATTATGGTTACCTTAAATGCAGGAATTTGTCTAAATTCTAAAGAAAATTGAGACTTGTATGCATTGAATTTGGGGAGCTCTGGTAGCATAGTGGCTAAGGCACTTGACTGCTAACCAGAAGGCTGGGGGTTCAAATCCACCAGCCACTCCTCGGAAGGAAGATGGGGCAATTTACTTCCGTAGTTATACTGCCTCGGAAACCCAAGGAGGGGTCGCTGTGAGTAGGGTCCGACTTGGCACATAACAATTAAATAAAACCATCATAACAGCCATTTTTAGTGCCATCCTGAAATCATTAAGAGAACCTCTGGTAGTTCAGTGGTTAAAGCATTTGGCTGCTAACCAAAAGGTCAGCAGTTCAAACCCACCAGCCATACCACGGTAGAGCAAGGAGGCAGTCTGCTTCCGTGAAGATGTGCAGCGTTGGAAACACACAGGCAATTCTCTATTGTATAGGGTCACTGAGGAGCTCTGATAGCATAGTGCCTAAGGCACTTGACTGCTAACCAGAAGGCTGGCAGTTCAAACCCACCAGCCACTCCTCGGAAGGTTGGGCAGTCTACTTCCGTAGTGATACTGCCTTGGAAACCCAAGGAGGGGTCCCTGAGAGTTGGGTCCCACTCGAAGGCATATAACAATGGAGGGTCACTGAGCTGGAATCAACTCAATGGGGTGAGTTTAATTTGTTTTTAAAATCGTTGTTTTCAGGTTGTCACAATCGTGAGAGCCAGCGGAGGGCAGCACTTGCTCAAGAACGAGAGCCCGGGGCCACTGGGAAGGGCAAACTACCACATGCACAAAGTATGATGATGGTCTTGTTTGCCAGGGAGTAGTAATCCAAGGTGACAATTGTTGACATATAGAGGAGATTGAGTACCAAGGAGTTTGACCAAAATGTTTTTTAAGTATTCACAAAAATTAGTGATAAAAACTAATGACTAAAAATTTAGTTTTTTGAAGAAAGGCATTCAAGTCTTATGATTCATCAATCCAGGCCACAGATATAAATCTTGCAGTGATAAGCAGTGAAGCATACAATTAAAATCGATTCCACAGCCTTGAATAAAACATAATTTCATTTTTTAAAATAGATAATACCAAGATGGAAATTCAAGAGGTTATATGGTCTCCCCTCTCCCCAGGCTTCCAGTTCACTAACATGTTAGCAATCAATAATACCAGGTTCTTAGATCTTTCCAGAACTTTTTGTAAGTGTTGTTGTTAGGTGCCATTGAGTTGTCTCTGACTCACAGTGACCCCATGCACAGCAGAACGAAACTGTCTGGTCCTGAGCCAGCTCCATGATTCTTGATATACTTGAGCCCATCACCACTGCTACCGTGTCATCTCGTTGAGTGCCTTCCCCTCTTTTGTCAATCCTCCACCTTGCCAAGCATACATCCTTCTCCAGGGAATGGTCCCTTCTGACAACATGACCAAAGTGTGTGAGACGAAGTCTGGCCATTCTCGCCACCAAAGAGCATTCTGGCTGCACTTCCTCCAGGACAGACCTGTTAGTTCTGTTAGCAGTCCATGGTACTTTCAGCATTCTTTGCCAGCACCGTAGCTCAAAAGCATCAATTCTTCGGTCTTACTCATTGTCCATCTTCATATGCACGTGAGGCAATTGAAAATACCATTGTTTGTATCAGGCACACCTTAGTCCTCAAGGAGACTTCTTTGCTCTTCAACACTTGAAAGAGGTCCTTTGCAGCTGATTTGCCCAGTGCTATATGTCGTCTGATGTCCTGACTGCTGCTTCTATTGGCGTCGATTATAGAACCAAGTAATGTGAGGTTTTTGACAATTTCAGTCTTTTCTCCATTTATCGTAATGTTGCTTATAGGACCAGTTGTGCGGATTTTTGTTTTCTTTATATTGAGGTGTAATCCATACTGCAGAATGTATTCTTCAATCTTCATCAGTAAGTACTTCAAGTCATCCTCACTTTCAGCAAGCAAAGTTGTGTTGTCAGCGTATCGCAGGTTGTTAATGATTCTTCCTCCAATCCTAATGCCACGTTCTTCATATAGGCCAGCTTCTTGGATTATTTGCTCAGCATGTAGATTGAATAAGTATGGTATTCCCTTCTTGATTTTAAACCGTGTAGTGTTCCCTGTTTCTGTTTGAACAACAGCCTCCTGGTCTATGTACAAGTTCCTCATGAGTACAATTACGTGTTCTGGAATTCTCATTTTTCTCAGTGTTACCCACAATTTGTTATGATCCACACAAGTAAGTATATAAATAGACCAATAGTAGTAACATGCAACACAACTGTTCTAGACCCTTGCATTTTTCATTTTATACAGATATATATAAATCTAAAGAATACTGAAAATACAACGGACTGCCAGAAGAACGAACAAATCTATTCTGGAAGAAATACAGCTGGAATGTTCCTTAGATGAGGGAATAGCTACACTTGGTCTTGTGTACTTTGGTCTTGTCAGAAGAGACTATTCCCTGGAGAAGGACATCATGCTCGGTAAGGTAGAAGAACAGTGAAAAGGAGAAGACCCTCAAAAAGATGAATTGACGCTGCAATCATGGGCTCAAGCACAGCAAAGATTGTGAGGACAGTGCAGGATGTGGCAGTGTTTCATTCTGTTGTACATTAAGCTGCTACGGGTTGGCGCCAACTTGATGGCACCTAACAACAGTATATCTGTATCTATCTAAATAAGTAAGTCTTGGTATTCTATATCATTACATACAGAATTTCTTCATTTTACCAGTTGTATAACCCATTGTCACATAATTTATTTGACGGGTCTACTGTTGATTGGGGGAGCTCTGGTAGCATAGTGGCTAAGACACTTGCCTGCTAACCAGACGGCTGGCGGTTCAAACCCACCAGCCACTCCTCGGAAGGAAGGTTGGGCAATCCTACTTCTGTAGTGATACTGCTTCAGAAACCCAAGGAGGGGTCGCTATGAGTCGGGTTTGACTCGACGGCACAAAACGACAACAATAACTGTTGATTGGATCCTCACCTTACTTCCAAGTTTTTCCCTGTTATGAGCAGTGCTGCAGTGGAAAAGCTTAAAAATATGTCATTTGCACGTGAACCAGTATACTCAATGAACTGTTTTGCCACAACAGGCTCAGAAGGAGTAAGTTTATACATCTTTTCTCCTTGTTTCTAGGTTTGGAATGGAAGAAAATTGGAAGATAAAAAGAGCCCACCTTATTTAGCAGGTCCCATAAGTGATTACAAGGAGCTCTGGTGACACTGTGGTTAAGGCATTGACTTGCTAACTAAAAGGTAGGCAGTTTGAACCCACCAGCTACTCCAGTGGAGGGAGATTAGGCAATCTACTTCACTAAAGATTTACAATTTTAGAAACCGGATGGGGTTGCTACTTGTCAGAATTAACTCAATGGCAGTGGATTTGGTTTTGGTTTTTGGTATAAATGATTACAGTGACTCTGAAACTTTATTTTTTCATATCTTGTTATACAGGGCTGGGGCATTGTGGGAATGTAAAACTCATTGACTCAGT